ACAAGCCAGATGCATCCAATTTGACAGATGCACTATGAACTATTCACTTATGTCACAGTGGGTGCAGTTTTTCAGTGAAGACCTTCCCTAAAATCACGGTCTGTGCTCATAATGATGAGTTCTGAGGACCACATTTTGCACTCAGACTGAAAATGCAAAATGGACAAGAGCAATCTCAATTGGCCAGTCATGGGACTGTCCCCTCCTATTGGCCATGTGATAGTTCTCAGATAAGTGGCTGCTGAATCAGGCTAAATCCTTAATGTAGTGAATAATAATATTAATGTGTTATTCGTTTAGTACCTGAGGGAATAAAGTAAGCAAACACACACACACACAATTTCAGGCTTAAAAACTAAAACGAGTTTTGTTTAATAGGCTCTCCAGGAATTCAAGGAAAATCTGGTGCAAAAGGAGACATGGGGCCAGAAGGACCAACTGGTGCTACAGGGCAGAAGGGTGACAAAGGGGAGCACGGCAACCAGGGTAAGAGAACAAGGCACGATACCAATTCTAAACTCTGGATGCCATTTTTGGGTTTGGGAAATAGCCCTACCCCTCTCTCCTGACTCAGAGCCTCATTCTCCTCAGAGGAGCGGGGCCAGCTCCTGACTACCTCCACCTGTGCCCCCATCCCTTCTTTTCTCTATCACCTTGGCGTCAGGTGGGGTGGATGGCCCAGTCTACATGACCTCCCTTCACAGTTCCCATTCCCCAGGGTGGGAGGCACAGTGTGGTCTTAAGGAACCTTCCCCTTCTCCCAAACCCTGGGTGCCATCTGACTCCCCAGGAGGCTCCCCCAATCTCGGGGGCTGCCTCTCCTTTTTGCCACTCCTTTCTGCTGCTCCCTCACGTTTGGCGAGGGGCTGGCCCCCTGTCCTACCTTCAGCCCCACTGATCGGCCCCTGGACTGGACACATTCCAGACACCTTATGGAACCAGGCAAGTGGCTGAAGGAAAGTGTGAACACAGTCCTATTGCCTGTACAAATTTCTGTTCTGTACCTCATGTATCTTAACATTCTGGTATCCTTTGTAGCTGGCCATGAGACACGGAAGTATCAATGTATTAGCCAAACCTGTATGCTCTCTTTTAGGCATGATGGGTCGCCAAGGAATTCCTGGAGAAAAAGGTATACTACATAGCAATGCAATTTCTTTTCTCTTCTAAAGATAGATTTTTTAAAAGTTACATTTTGACCCTGCCTTTCATCCCTCAGGGAATTCAAGGCAGCTATATGGGTCTTTCCTCTAGGCTCTGACAAAACCAAACCCTGCTGATCTTTTCTAGGTTTCCATACCGTCTCCCGTTAGACAGGACATTGACCTTGTATAACCTAGACACATTAGTTCTCTAATTTCTGTAGTGATCTCAGCAACAAGGATCTAATTTTCTAAATTAACATGACAAAGAGAACTCTTTCCTGTGCCTGCAAAAACTAGACGCTGATCAGCTATCAGTGCCTGATTAACAAATGCTTCTACATTCAATTTACCTTCTACTTTCCAGAAGCTGTCAGTGAATTGAGCTTCTACTTCATTGTAGAAATTAATTCTGAACCTCTTGTGGCCTTATCCATTCCAACATTTGTCAGTCTGCTTTATGGATTTGCTGCCTAAATCTGTGCTCATTTACATGAGTGTGAATGAAAAAGAATCTGGAGCACGGTAGTGTGAAACGGCTCAAGATGAACCAGACTATGGTCTCACTCTGTAATTGGCCTTTGTTACGAGGCAACTTTAAGAAAGGGCTACCCATGGCCAGTGCTCTCTCTAAGCCGAGTTAGTGTGAGCTAGCTCACAGTTTTTTAGCCTCTGGCTCACACATTTTTGTCTTCGCTCAGGAAGGATGGCTCCAGAGCAAACTAATTTATGCAGCAGCCAAATTGTTTGCTCACAACTTTAATGCCAGTAGCTACCAAAATAGAATTTTTGCTTCACAAGACTTCACAGCTTAGAGGGAGCATTGATGGCACATATGCCTGCAGAGCAGGGGTGATTTCATAGGAAAAGAGCTGCAGGAGCTCATTAGCATATCTAATAGGCTATTAGCATAATAGCT